GAACTTTTGAGATTCACAATGGGGCCTCAAAAATAGGATAATGGACTTGAAAGTATTTTGAAAAGAAATTTGAAAAGCAGTATTGTGTTCATATTATACCTGTTATTTAAAAAGGAAAATTTGAATTCAGGTTGGGAAACTGCTCTGCTCTGGCTCTACTTTTCCAAAAAACTGAGGCAACACTATCATCTGCAGCACAGCCCCCTCTGAACTATCCAGCCCCGGAGGAAAAAGGGGGAGCGTTGGTTAAGCAAACACTTAAATGGAAAGAGAGTCACCATACGGGTTAGTGTTTCTCAGCCCTCTGTTTTTGTTTTCTAAAGGAAAAAAGTTTTCTTGAAACTCCCCTCATGCTGACTTAAATAATTTTCATTATATTATTCCTTAAATACATACAAAATTATATAATTAGGTATAAGTGCTTTATGTTTGTAGCTCATTAAAAACTGTAAGAACACAAAACGAAAAAGTTCTGGAGATTTGTTGCACAACACCGTGAATGGACTTCACACTATCAAACTGCACTTAAAATGGTTATGACGGTAAATTCTATGTTATGTGCTTTTTACCACCATGTAAAAAACTGTAAGAACAAATTAAATTTTATACATTAAATAAAAACAAAATCACCAGGTAAATTCAAATAAAGGACATTAATTTAGTGTAAAAGTGGTAACATTTTGCTGAAACTAAAGCCAACGTTGGGTTTCATTACAATTTATAAGCATAATTAGAAAAGCATGGTAAGATACTTTTATGCATTTAATGTTTCGATTGTTGACTTAAATGTTTGATTTGGGGCATGATGGACAGTTATTTGAATCACAATTATCATTATTATAATTTTTCCTCCTATCGGGTTACTCATTTTGAAACCAAACCATTAGTTGATTATTTTAATTGGCCCAACTGACTTAGAAATGGTGCTCTCCAAAATATAATATTGATAAATAATTGTTTAAAAGCTTCTTACAAAAAGTTCTTCACGGAGAATATTTGCAAAGTGGTATGTCATATACACACAAAATCAAACCAACACCTCTGCTTAGACCCTGAATAAAGTGACTACTTTGCCTAGTTTATTTTGAGTCCAACCTATGCTCCCATGAGACTTGTAATCACTCGATTTCCTCACCATTTTCCTCTATTTAAACTACTGTGAAGTATAAAACTTCACTTAAATTGGTGCCGTGATTCATCTGGCCTTCACTTTCGATGAGTGCATCATTTCTGTAGTCGGTGGGTCTGGTTCTTTTCTCATTAGTCAATGACAATTAAAGCAACATGGTTATTTTTTATGCTGGGAAACCAAATTAATTTATTAAATAAATTAAAAGGTTAAACATAATCACGTTATCACTGACAAAGAGCAGTTTTAGCTTTATAACTTGTAAGGTAATTCAAAATGAACTTTATTGAACAGTAAGCAAGTTGTTTTTGTTATTTTGATACCAGGAATGCCAATCCAAAGACTACCAACACTGTAATGTACAGCATGGTGGCTGTAGTGAATACTACTATATTAGATTTTGGAAATTGCTAAGAGAGCAAATCTAAAAGAAAGACAGACTGCCGACACATTAAAAGTTAAACATTGTCACGTTAACTATCACGTGGTACCAACCCAGTTTTAAACACAGTGCAGCGACACTGAAGTATGTGGTTATAATATCCCTGGTAAACTAGGTCAGCTTATGTTTTATTATATTTTTTAGGTCACCATTGAAATGGAAACACATTATTACTAGTAGACCATCAATAATATATACATAGACTTATCTAGTTTGTATTCTATACAAATCTTTAAAGAATTAGAACACCAGAAAAGTGGGATGAGAAGAGCATCCATCCACATGAAGGAAGCCCATGCGGGGTGTCAGGCCCCAGCACAGGATTGACAAAGGGGACACCCCTGCAGAGCACCCGCTTGGCTCGGTGTCAGAACCACAGCAGGCTCAGAGGATGGCCTAGTGCACAGTGTTGAATCCTAAGTGTGTTGAGGATGGGGGCAGCTTAGCATGGGGTTTCAGAGCCCCCATGGGTAAGGGGAGCGTTCTTGCAAAAGAAGAGCCTAGTGTGGGGTGCTGGAGTCAGGCGCCTCAAGACGCTACCCCTGTTGAGAGGTGGGGTTCAGAGGCCCACCTGGGGTGGGAAGGTGTCCCTGTGAAAAGGTGGCCCAGCACTGGGTTACAGCCAAAGCACGCGTGCCACCTGATAACAGAGCATCTGATATTCGTGATAAACATGGCCTGTGATATTCCTACAAAGACATATAAAACTCAATCATGCAAAAATACCAAACAAACACAAATTGAGGGCCACTCTACATGATGACTGCCCTATATTCTTTAAAAGTGTCAAGGATATGAAAGTCAAGGAAAGATGGAGGAACTACTCAGATGGAAGGAGACTCGGGAGACATGAGGATTAATTGTACGGTGTGGCTCTGAGCTGGAATCGTTTTGCTACAAAGTGGATTATTGGGCCATGGAGAAACTTGGCTGGAATATGAGGATATGTATGAATGTTAACTTCCTAATCTTGCTGTTCGGACGGGAGTTACGCAGGGGAATGTCCAAGGAAATGCTCACTAGTATTCAGGAAAGATGGAATCAGATCGGCAACTTCCTTTCAAATGGTTTGGGGGAGAAAGGGTCTTGGTATTTTACTCGCAACTTTTCTCAAAATTTGAGATTGTTTCATAATTCAAAATATCATGATATAATGTTAAGTTTTTTAAAAGATTAAAATTCATGTGTAAGGTATGACCAACTACAAAAAAATATCTTGCACAATAGTAAAGGTTCCCATGTTGAGCACTTATTATGTGTCAGATACTGGACTACACGGCTTGTATACTTTATCTCATTTAAACTTTGCACCGGTCTTACAAAGTGGGTATTACTAGTTTCACTTTACAGGTGAGGAATCTGAGGCTCAGAGAGGCTAACTAACTTGCCCAGGTCCTTAACTAACCTATTGCACAGCTCAGAGAAGAGAGTGGAAAAAGTGCCCAAAATGGTAACAGCAGTAGCCTCTGGGCCGTGGGACTATAAATGACTTTTAGTTTTTCCTTTTGTAGTTTTCAGTATTTTCCAAAATATCCACTATGCATATTGCTTTTAAAAGTTGTCATTTTAAAAGTAAACTACCTGTTGTGCAGTAATATTGTAAAATTATGCTGATTACTCAAAACCATGTTGAACAACCCCAACTATTAATAGTGATATTATCTCTTAGAAGCGATATTTTGCTGATTTTCATTTAAAAAATCTTTGCTTCTCTGTAATTTATTGTTTCTATAATTAATTCTTTCATTCACTCAACAAATATCACTGAGCATCTGCTATGATTTATTTTTATAAGAAATTTTTAAAGAAAAAAGTGTAGTATAAGTCCAAAAAGGTGTAAATTCTATTCAAAAATCAGGAAGAAAGCATATATAGGCTTAGAAAAACACTGGGCAACAAAATGTTGCCAGCAGTTATGTTTCAGTGGTGAGTTAGTAGAAATTTTATCTTCTCCAAATACTTTCTATGCTTTCCCAGTTTTCAACAATATGTATTACTTACACATTCTATTCATGTCTGGGTGCTTAACTAGTACCTGACACATACTAGGAATTTAAGAAGATTTATTGAATGAAGGAATGCTTCTGAATACAAATGCCCCAAAAATATAGTTTTTAAAAGCAGCACTGACCTTTATTTATTCATTATCTTATTGTAGTTGGCAAACCTTCCACTCAACCTATGCTCTGTTGTGCTGGAGAGGACTTAAGGGAAGGCCCAGGTGGGGTAGAGAGCTCTAGTTGCCATTTCCAGGGGGTGGTGATGGGGAGAGCGATGCTACAGAAAGACAGGGTGAGCAGAAAGAGGGCACACACTGTTTAGAAAAATGCCACAATGTTGTTTTATTGTATTTATTAAGATTTCCTCTCCACCAATTTCCAGGTGAATTGGAAGTGACACGTCACTATCTTCACATCCATTGAGTATAGATTTCCTGCTGTAATAGCTGGGTTTCTTGGGAGTAACAGCTGAGGTTCACAAATGAATGGAGGGGTAGGATGAGGTTGGGATGACTCAATCATAGCTCCTATTTCACTTGTAATTTTGAAGCTCATTTCTCTGGTGACATGAATTAACTTGATCATAAACCCCAACAGAGACAAGATATGAGGCCAATGTGGGGGCTGAAGTCCCTTAGCTGGTGCATGAATCAAGCAGACTGCTCAGCATCCACATCTCCACTTGGCTGACCAACTCCATACTCATTTATGGGGAGGTTATATGCTATAATAATATTGCCAAATTTGAAGATTCTCAAATATCATGTGAAGTAGTTTTTAGGCAGAGCCAGGGATTACCAGAAGAAACAAACATTGGAAGTCATCCTTGAATCCTCTCTCTTACATCTATACATTGACAAATTCTGTTGCTTCTAACCTCAAATTATATCCAGTATCTGACCACTGCCCCCATCTCCTACCTCACTTTGATTATTGAAAGAGCCTCTTAACTACTCCCTGCTTCCACCCTTAGCCCCCTAGTTCATTTCCCACACAGCACCCACAAGGATCCTTTGAAAATCTAACCCAGATCATGTTTTTACACAAAAACCTGCAATGGCCATAGCCCTTGTGTCCCACAGCTCTGTTATCTCTCTGACCTAATCTTCTACAGCTTTCCCCTTGCTCACTCCACTTCCTTGCTGTTCCTCAAACATGCCAGGCACGCTTTGCCCTTGCTCTGTCCTCTGCAGGAAGCTGCCCTGCCCCCATCCAATGGCCCTCTCTTTCACCCCTGAAATCTTTTCTCAAATGTCACCTTACCAGAGAGGCCGCTCCTGACCATCAATGTCAAGTACAAACCACCTACCCACACACCATCTCCTCTACCTGGCTTTTTTCTTCATAGCAGTTGTCCTCATCTGGAACAGCTCTGCTCACCAAGTGTTTCCAGCTTTCCCAAACACACGGTATGCGTGCACTTCCTCACCTTCTGAAGCTGGGTGCAGCCACATGATTTGCTTTGTCCTGTGAGTAGAAGTGTCCTGTGTCACTTTCAGGCATAAGCTTTAAGAGCCAGTGTGCATGCAATTCACCACTCTGTCTTCTCCTGCTGCCGCCAAGATGATCCATGCTCCAGAGGGTCTGGTCCCGGGGTGAAGCTGCACAAAGCGCAGCCCCCAGCTGACCTGCAATGAACATGCAGGGTAAGTGAGAAACAAACTTTGTTGTCTTAAGCCACTGAGATACTGGGTTGTTCATTGTTACAAATAATCTAGCCTATCCTGACTGACATATTACATACTTCTTTGTTTACTGTCTCCCCTGTTCCCATCTTGATGGTAGGGCTCTGTTCACTGTTAATCTCCAGTGCCTAAAACAATGTCTGGCACATGGTAAGTATTCAATAAATATTTGTTGGCTGACTGAATAAGTTGATCACACCAACTGAAGTAAAAAGACTTAACGATGGCAGGTGAATCTAATCCTGGACTCACCTACAAAAACACTCGTTCTGCCTGATCTGAATGTGAACCAAATGGTTCCTGATTCAAGATCAGAAGTGTGGCTGCTTATCTCACCAGACACAGTTTGAAAACACAAATTGCCTGTGGGTACATAACATAGCTAGTCATGAAAGCACATAAAGCAGCTAAAGTTACAACACAAACAGAGAGCTGGCACACTGCTGAGGGGACTCAGTGACAACCATAAATAAAAGCATGAGCAATGTCTGTGTGGATGCTGAATGCTGATGTGGTTTCCTCTCCCTGCGTGGACATTAGCATTTGTAATGAACTGAGCTTCAGAGGCCTGGGATTTTATCTGTCGTTATCATAAATTGGTGGATGAGCCCCTCTCAGGACTTCTGCAAAAGCTGTGTGTGCTTTTGTGAGCTGCTTTCTTTTCATGTGCTTCCTCCTGGTAGTCCTGAATTTGGCTGGGGATAATGCATTTCCTGTATCATGTGGCACAGTACAAGGAAACTCATTGTACCCCGTTAGAGGAAGAGTACATCTGTAAGTAGTTTTTAAGAGTGTACTGAAGGATCTTGTTAGGGTGACTTATTCTCCCAGTTCCATTTGGTTGATGAAGTGGGTCACGTGACAGATGTGCATAATGAACCGCTTCAGTCGCTGCCAGTGGGAAGCTCAGCCTATAATATGCAAAATCTCATGGACTCATTGAGGGCATAGCAAGCTGATCAGAGAGAGAAGTCTACCTCATTCTGAGCTGTCGTCTCTTACTGCCCCATACAATGTGCCAGTGTTGCTAGGCTTTTACTCTCCTCCAAAGTAACTGCCTTTCCAGTGGATTCCTAATTCAAACTGGAAAGACAGTTGTTTCTGCATACAGTTCCCTAAAGAGCAAGCATTCTTAAGATGTGCAAGGATCATCATTAAATGCACTTGCAAGTTTTGTCATTTAAAAAGGGAACATATTTACATCAGACAGCAGAATTGCTGGGGTTTGGTTTTTTGGTTTTTTTGCCTCTTTACCATCTCTTTTCCTTTTTAATATTTCTTTTATTTCTCTGTCCCGTTAGCTTGTCGTTTCTCTTTATACTCACTGGTAATTCCCCAATGACTACCATCAGAAGGGATATAAATTGTCTCCCATTTTCTGTGGGTGGTGCAGAATAGTGATGTCCAAGCCAAAAAACACAAGTGGCAAACCTATTCCAGGAGTAATCCAACTCGAAGCTCACTCTGGGTGCTTCTGAGTCACTAAGGAACAGATAGTGAACCAAGATATAAAAGGCAATAATGCAAACTCTAGCCCTATATATGATAATAGAGGAAATGATGAAAAGGCTACAAGTCAATTCAATTCACTTCTACCATGGAGCGGCCAGTTGTGCTCAACACTATGCTAGGCACTCACTGTGCAGGGAGCAAGAGATTGAGCACATGGCCCTTGACTTGAAAGAAGTCGGTGAATAAATGGTGCTGTATGGCGCTATGTCTAAACCCCATAACTGCTGCACAGCGTATCGGGCTTTCGGTGGTCCCAGAGGAAAGATCGCAGTGAGAAATTGTCAGGCAAGGCTTTGGGCAGGGCGCAGGAAATGAGCTAAACCTTGAAGGACAGGTAGCTTTTAGATGCTGTCAAAAGAGCAAAATACTATTAAAGAGGTCAAGAGTGCACGACATCTTCATCAAACTCAGCTGTTTCGGGCACCTCACTTCATAGCCCCAGTTTCCCAAATAACCACACATGTCAGCCACACAAGTTATCTAAAGAATATTTAAAAAATTAATCAGATGTTAGGATAAGGCGATTAATCACAACATGAAGTACCAAGATGTCACAGTTGTAAGCTTTAAACTGACTATGAGAACAGCAGCTTTGTTTCTCTTGTGGGAAAATAAAAAATATAATCTAGGAAACAAGAGCTTAATCTCCTAGTAGGAAAACAGCTTACGAAATTTCTTTCAGAGACTTTAAAATATGTCGGCTTTGGCTTTAGTGAGTGTAGTGAACTTTCCTCTGGACACCGAAAGCTGGCGCTGGGGCAGTGTAGAGAGCCCCCTGGCACCACGGCAACCTCCTCCTGACGCCGAGGCTGGCCAGCACCGCTGGCGAACCCCTGGCACTTCTCTGCGGACGAATGGCAAACTTGGCAGCACCTGCTGAGTTCACACGCAGCGGGAGTGGCTGGTTCTCAGGGTCCGCAGGGGGGAGGTGAGAGCAGCTCGAGGCCAAGGGTTTGACCTCCTGACCCTTGCGGAAAAGTGTAGCACTCTCGAACTTACTTCTCATTGGAATACTGTGCCATGGTTTTCCTGGCCATGAGACATGTCCTTTCAACCATTTCCTCGCAAAAGACATTTGCTACATTTCATTTGGTTGTTTCGCGTCAAGGGCCACGTGCCTGTCTCTTCAGCTCCCTGCACAGTGACCAGCAGGATGCTGAGCACATCTGGATGCTCGTGTAGAAACGCACTGAATTGACTTACAGCTTTTCTCACCAAAATAGCTACCACAGAAAATGTATTACCAAAAATGTCTCTTATTCTTGTTTCACAAAACTCAGTAATATGGTTTCTGAAGTCTTGAGCCCAGAGCTATTAGTCCTTTTGGTTATGAGGGGTTTCAAGGAAAAATTAGAATTTATGAAAAATAGAAAGAAACCCTTTTGGATCATCATCTCCCTTATTCTGAATGCCATGAATACTTGCGTCCATCCATGCACATGGTTTGCATGCGTGTGAGCACACGCACGCACACACACACACACACATTCTCACACATCACCTATTTTACTGAAAAATATTACGCTAGAAACCTTTATTATATCCTGGTTGTAGTCCTTTAACGAGGGGCACCTGAGCGGTATATGTTTGCAGGTAGCTATAGGTACAGCTAAGTGGTCTGCCTGAAACCTAAAATTAGAATGAGTTAATGGTACTACTGGGAGAGATTTGTTTTCCTTCAGTGTTTTCATTCCCAAACTCTGCTACCCCCACTTCCTGCGGGGACTGAAGTCATGGTAGATACTACTCAAAAGTAATAACTCCTGAGAGACACTCTCTGGAAAATCAGCATGCAAAAGGCAGTTGGCCCCAGAAACCGAGGCCACTTGGCTACAGCAGTAGAATATTAAAGCCACACAACAGTAAAAGGAATCTGGGTTTCCTATATTTTAAAATGTCTACTGTTTCAGCTTCAGCTTTGGTGAAATCAAGAGAAATGAATTAAAGATTTTGCTCTTAGAACCTTTACATAAATAAGGTATTATTATTGTTATTCTTTAAAAGATAATGAGAATTAGGTGCCGAAATTTAGATGACTTCTAAAAATGGCTTGGAATAATCATATTTGCTCAACTGGGCAGCCCTGACATTGTATGCGATATAAATCAACTTTCATTATTCTTTAATGACTCTGCAATTCTTTTTTCTAGAACTTTGCAAGCTTGACTTGTGCTCACCTTGCTGTGGAATGCTTTAAAGGGCATTTCATCTAATAGCAGAGGAGAATGATAAATTATGGATGCCAAATCATATAATAGTGATTTAGGTAGCACTAAGGTAAGGTTGTAAGTAATAAAATACAAATTTTCCCAATCAACCTCTACATTAGGAGAAAAAAAAAAAAAGCTGTCTGCATAATTAAAGAGAGACATGTCAACATGCTTGTTAATATGCTATTCTGGGGGCTTGAAAAACACTTAAAATCATAAAGCAAAATACTGAGTGGAAAGTATTATGCCAAGTGAAATAGGATAGTCAGAGAAAAGACAAATACCATATGATTTCACTTATATGTGGAATTTAATGAACAAAATAAACTAAAAATTTTTAAAAAAGCAAAATACTGGAAATAGTTATCAGTTTAACTGAAAAAGTTCTATATTCATGAGTGGGTATGAAGTAAATTCATTATAAGGGTCCTCTGGAAATACAGATATCAAGAAAGAAAAAAAGAACTTGGTCTCACTCTCTTAAGTATCTGGGGAGTCAGGACAACATGGTGGTTAAGAGTTTACCTGAGTCTAAATTTTGGCCAAGTTCCTACTAACTGTATGACCTCAGGCAAGTAATTTAACTTTTGGGGGCCTCAATTTACTCAGCTTTAAAGTGGGGAAGATAGTGAGTCCTAGTTCATAAGGTTCTGTGAGGATTACGAATAAAGCATTTAAAATAGAATGTAACAGCTCTGGGCGGATTGGCTCAGTGGTTAGAGTGTCGGCCCTCAGACGAAGGGTCCCGGGTTTGATTCCAGTCAAGGGCACACACCTCAGCTGCAGGCTTGACCCCAGCCCCCCATCGGGGCACGTGCAGGAGGCAACCAATCGATGTGTCGCTCTCACATCATTCCCCTCTCTCCCTCCCACTCTCTTTGAAAAGCAATGGGAAAAAATATCCTCAGGTGAGGATGAAAAACAGATAAATAAAATCTAATCTAACAGAGTAAGCATCCAATAAAAATGGATTACATAATATCTTACTATTTCTCTGCCCTAACTCTCTAACTCCCTGGTGGTCTCTCGTCTTGCTCTAAGTGAAAACCAAAGTTCTTACCATGTCCTTATAAGATCCCCAGACAACCACCTGTTTCCTTTCTGACCTGATATCTTGAACTTTTTTCTCCCTCCCCCAGCTGGCACACTGGCCCCCTGACTGTTCCTCAGACACACTAGGTGCTTTCCATCTCAGGACCTTCACAGTTACTGTTCCCCCTGCCTTGAAAATTGTCCCTCAGACATCACCGCTGGCCTGGCCGTCACTTCCTTTGGGTCTTTACTTCAAAAGCACCTTATCAGTGAGACTTTTCCTGAACTAGTATCTACCATTTCCACACCTCATCCCCACTGACATTTCATAGTCCCCTTTCCTGCCTTATTTTCCTCCTCAGCACTAACACTTCCTAATATACTACACATCTCACTAATTTATAATGACAGGGTTAACAACCCCCGCATCTAACCACCAGACAATGTTAGAGCGGGAAAAGATCACCCAGTCCAACTTCCTAATGTTATTAATGGGGTTAGAGAGAGAGAGAGAGTAAGAGAAACATTGATGTGAGAGGGACACATCGATTGGTTGCTTCCCATACATGCCCCAACCAGGGCCAGGGATCGAACCTGAAACCAAGGTAAGTGCCTTTGACTCAGAATTGAACCCATGACCTCTCAGCCCATGGGCTGATACTCTAACCACTGAGCAAAACTGGCCAGGGCTACACTAAACTCTTATTAACCCATTTTACATATGAGAACATTGAGGCTCAGACAGATAAGTAAATTGTCCAAGCTCAGATACTACAAAATGGTACCTCTGTAGATTAAGCCCAAGCAGTTTGAGTCTATAT